ATGGTGGGGCCGAGGCTACCACGGATATGTTCTCACGATGATGGTGTAAATGCTAGAACAAAAGTCAACTATGTATACTCATTTCAAGCCTCTGCTCATGGCATATTTAACATACCATCCCAACATGCTATCAGCACATTTAACACACTGTGGTGGTTTGAAGGAAAATGGGCCCCCAAAAGGGTGGTACTATTAGGAGGAGTGGCCCTGTTGGAGGAAGTGTGTCACTGTAGGGGCGGGCTTTAAGGTCTCTTTTCCTCAAAGCTTCCCTCAGTGTGACAGTCAATTGACTTCCTGTTGCCTGCAAGATGTAGCATTCTCAACTACAGCACAAAGTCTTCCTGCATACACATGACCATGCTCTCATCATGATGATAACGGACTCAACCTCTGAAATTGTAGTAAGCCACCCCAATTAACTGTTGTCTTTATATGAATTGCTGTGATCATGGTGTCTCTTCACAGTAATAAAATCCTGAACTAAGACACAGACCATCCCAACATACCACTGGCACATTTAACATTCCACCACAATATGCCACTGGCACATTTAACAGGTCATCCCAACATGCCACTGGGCAAGGCAAGTCACTTCGGCTAAGATCAGGAACTTTATTTCCACAAGTCGACAGCAAGAGTGTGAATCTTTGGTACTGTGACAGGAAAGGGAGCGTTTGCTTTTCTATTAATTTTATCAGAGTCTGTTCCTTTGGAATGGTTACCCATCTTTCCCAAATTTCTTCCAGCTTCATCAAATAAAATCACATCCTAAACTCATTTGATCTATATCTGTGACATACCTTGTCTGGATATGTTTTCTTTGTATCAGAGACTGATGAATAATGAGAATATGACTACCTGCCACACACTTAACATATAATCACAGAGTAAGAATTCAGTAACAGAAATAAACACTTCCACCAGGAACAAAAAAAAAAGTGCTAGATAGAATTTCCGAAGTCCTGTTGGGCAAACAAATATTTCTGGGTCCCTAGATTAGGCTCCAGTTATTTTCTTTAGGAATCATATCCTGATCTGGTGTTTAAATCTGTTTTGTACCCAGGGAAGCCTTTCCCTGTCAGTCATCACCCAGTTTCTTCCAGAGAGTTGAAGACATAGTGTTTATTTTGTGTCTCACATAGTCTCAGCTTCTTTTAGCCCAAGCTGATAATAATTTTCACAATATCATTCTCTCAAACACATAGTAAGTTTTCTATGACTTTCATTCCATGCAACTATATACTAAAACAAGGCCTGTTCTTTATGAGACATGTCTTCTAGAGTTACTTATAGATAAGTAATTGGGATGCATCAGGCTCCTTTCAGGTATCCCCTAAGACCTTTGGCTTAGCTGTAAAGAGCAGTTAATATGAAGCCTCAGTCTTCTATGAGGTCATATTGAATGTTACAACTTCACCTTTGATTTGATCTTTATTTTGAGGCCATTTAATAATCACCATGCCTTTTCTCCAAGTCCATCATTCAGCCCTCCTACTTCTTACATTAAATCTCACCTCTGACGTTTTGCAAACTAACTATTTAATTCCTCGGTTCTACCCTTTCAAGTAACACCATTATAATGCAACTACTGAAAATTAACTAATCTTTCAAAATTCATCTTCAAAAATTCTTTACATAATGCCATAATTTATTAAATACATTTTTGTGTTAGTTATCCCAGGAAATTACCATACCATTTTCTTGGCAGTATATGATCTCTGCTATCATTTTTGAGCTTTTAACATCAGTTTTCTTAAAGCTTACAACCAATATGACATTACCAACGTGTGCTCTTATCAGATGTTAGTATACCAAACAGCCTCCACTGCAATTATTATGGCATGTGCTTATTTTTATCACATATAAATATGCATTTTGACTGGGGCCATCCTGATTTTAGCTGTTTATTCTGGGCTCCAAACTGGGAGGAAGTGATTACCTGGAGTTCATTCTTTTTGTGCTGCTAATAACAGAGTAAGAAAGCAAGTCCATTCACACAAGTAACACTTCAAATATTTGCTTATAGCAGAGCTATTTTTCTAATCTTGCTGATCTGATACCAAGTTAAATGCTATAGTCTCTATCCTGGGGAAGATTAGTGAATTCCATTCACATGACACCATGAAAGCGGATATACTATAATACTGTTATGTGGGAGATGAATTGGTACATCATTAAATTCTCCCTGAGACAAGCTAGCAATATGGAAAAATTAAGTGGATCGAGAAAGGAAAATATTCTCTCAACTCCCTTCCACCCCCAGAGTCTGGTTTACATTCCTTGGGTGGGGGGGGAGGCACTGAGTCAAGAATTTCTACACAAATTGAAAACCAAAGCTGCTGCAAAGATGTCCCATGTGAAGATACCATCTTTTCTGAGAAATATCCCAATTAAGATGATTGGAACAGATGACTGATGGTAGTCAAGGCCAGATCACGTGTCTCACATCTTTGTGGCGTTTGATTTTAACCTGCCATCTGAAAACCTGAACAATGCAACCATAACCTCCTTTGCAATTGTATCTAGTAAATGAAATTAAGATGGAATAAATAAGTAAGCTAGCTCACATTTTAAATCAGCTTTTGAAAACTTTACTATCTTTGGAACTGTCAATTACATCCCTTGAACAATGAGGTGATGTAATATACAGAGCTAATGACAGGTAAGCATGTTCTTTTCCTACATTCACATTCTGGCCTTGTCTCTAGTGTGCACTTTGTTGTTTGTTTAATAAACTCCAACTTTGTTACTGACAGTCCTGAAATTCTTCTCTGCAGGTTAAGTCAAAAGCCCACAAACTGGAGGCTCTGACGTTACTTAGCAGGCTAGTTCAGCCTGCATCTCTCACTACTGTGGATGTTATGATCTCTCAGAAGATCCAAGAGCCTTCTTTTCTAGGGGAAATATTTCTGTTCCTCCTCTTAAGAAATAGTTCCATTTTTTTTTTTTTAAAAATGAACTTATTTCTTCATTTGTTGAGTACATCTTTTGTAAAGGGGGCAGATAACTTCTTTCATGCGCTACTTCTCTGCAGAAACCAAAACTCAAAATAAGCAATAAATCACAGACACGAAAAGAGCTGTAGTGATTTTCTAATTCATGTCAGCAATGAAAGATCTTGGATCTGTTTCTAAGAATGCGTTGAACACACCTGGCAATACTTGATGGAAGAGAGCAACCATAATTTTAGATTTTACTGGATTCATTGAGTTTGAATTCACTGTGCCAGTTATAATGTACCTGTCTAACATTTTGCTGGGTTGGTGAGTGCAAACATAGATCTATTATCCACAGATTTCTGGGGACAGCAGGACACCTGAGATCTACTGGGAAACTGGAGAAGAAAGCCAGTAAGCAGCTGAGTGACAGAATTCATGACAGAGATCTCTCTATCCCAGGCTAGGTTTTCTGTTAAGACCTAAGGGCTTAGACCAGTTTTTTTTTTTAACTTCTCATTTCCTGCTTTTAATACTTACATGCTGAAAAATGATGATTGAAAAAATTAAGTCTTCATTTTTGTGATTAAACCATTATAATTATGTAAGAGCAGAAATGTTTGTGGATAGTAGTTCATGCATCTAACAGTCTGGGGTCTAGGCTAAGGGTTATACGGTAAGCACTGGTTGCCTATGGGTGGCATGACATGTACAGTGCTAAGTGCACTTACTGGGTGTTCAAATCTGAAGCTACAGTGAAATTCCATGGTGCAGCATGGCCGAACGCTACACCAAATACCTTGGATCCACTAAGCACTTGAGTGTGAATCAATTTCTGCAATTTTCACATGAAAAAAAATCTTTTCCTGTTGTCAAGGTTTTTAGAATTCACATATTTGTTTCTGAACATGAAACTGCAACTCCAATTTTAGAAGCTGTGGCTTAGGGTCCCACCTACACATTTACTTATAGATACTCGATATTTTTCAGAAAACTGATAGATGGAGAGAACCAGTGCAATCTCGGTGAACTGCTGGTTGATGCTAGTAGAGTCCCTGTTCACTTTGCATAGATAGTGAGTATAATCATTGAGACTTGTCTTAAGTTACTCAAACTTTTATTGAGGACCACACTAGCAAGCAATTTAGAGAATGGTATAGCATTACAGCGCCTCATATCCTCACAGAGACACTCCTGAGACTGAGAGGTTAAAGCAATCCATTCTTAATGGGTGAGGACTCCATCAGGTTGTTAGATAAAAATCCCTGTTATTATTGTTATTATTATTGTTGTTGGTGTTATCTTCTGCCATTAGGCGAAGGCAGGGAGCACATCAGCCCTCAAAGATCCACAGTTTCAAATCAGTTCCTGGCTGTGCTACTTCTAAGATGCATGCATTTGTCTTGAGTCCTTCCTTTCCTGGTTGTAGTTGCTATGGCATGGTAAGTGCCAGAGATCATGAAGCTACCCTATCTCCTCCTAGGAAACAACAAATGCCATTGTTCTGTGTTAGTCAGGGAAAGAGCCATGAGATCCAACAAATAAATTTAATCTTGTCAAGTTTGCTTCAAAATAGATCAAACAGTTCTCTAAAACCATATGGTGGTGGTTTTCGCAGTTTTCAAATATATATCTGACAAAGAAATCCTTAACAATGAATACAACTCCATTTCTTTGATATTCCATGAGGGAAAAAGCACATTATTTTAAATGCCAGCCTCAAAAGTTTAAAATATCCTCAATTTTTCTTTTCCTGATGATTGGACTTCTTGACTCCCCTAAGTATGCCTGACATGCTTTTCATTCTCATTGAGCAGGTAGTCAGAAGAACATGGTTTATTCTAATGATGATAAAGAATGGAGTGGGCATAGGTTCTCAGAGCATGAAAAGGATGCATTATCAATGCAGCATTGAAATTGAGTTTAAAAATGTATCATGTTGTCTGTCATCAATTTATTATCAATTAAAAGTACAGGAATTTTTTTTCACTCTATTTATAAACAAGATATTTTTTCCCCATCTGTTCCTTGAAACTTATTGTTTTGACCTATATATTTTTCCAGGTGAAAAGGTGATACATGCTCACCAGATAAAGGCTTGAAATTCAAAGAAACTAAAAGGTAGAAAAATTATCATCTATAAATACATGATGTGGTGTTTTGCCAATGATTGTTTAACAATATAAAAATGTTTATTAAAATGCACATACTAACATTAAAATTATTTTTTAATAATTATAAAGCAATATGTGGTCTTCTTAATAGTGGAGAAGAATTAGATCTTAGGAAGTATGGAGAAGACCAAAAATGGTCCCAATGTTTTTGCTGGTGTTTATTTTACTACCCATGTGTCTGGTACAATGAAATACTTTAAGATACATTTTTCCAACTTAAAAATAAGATTAATAGTCTTCCTATTATTGAGTTTTGAGCACTCTTTTTATATTTTAGATACATATTCTTTTTATTGAGAATTTCATGTGTGTATATATGCTTTGATCTAGTTTATCCCCAATTCCCCCTCCAATTTCCCTTCTATCCTCTTTCATTCTTCTTTCAACATTTATGGACTCTTTAAAAAAAAACAACAAAACAAGGAGTCCACTTAATGCTGCCAGTATGAGGGCAGGACCAACTACTGTAGCACGGGCAGCCTCTTATGGACCACAACGCTGAAGAAAACTGACTACCTTTTCCCTGCAGCCACCAATTGCCAATAAATCCTCAGCTAGGGGAGAAATTCCTAAAGATGCAGATTTGTTATCACAAATACGTTTCTGGAATATTATTCCACAGTATGTAGCTTACTTTCCTACACTCTTAACAATTGCGTTCAAAAACCAGGTTTTATTTTTTTAAATAATTTATTTTATTATTTTAATGAACTGTGTGTGTGTATGTGTGTGTGTGTGTATGTGTGTGTGTGTGTGTGTGTACATGTGTGTATGTGAATGTGAGTAGTCACATATGAGTGTCAGTGCTTGTAGAGGTCAGAGGCATTTGGTAGCCCTGGAACTGGAGTCACATATGGTTGTGAGTCGCCAAAACATGTCCTAGGAACCAAACTCAGGTCCTCTGCAAAAGCAGTGAATGCTCTTAACCAGTGAGCCATTTGTCCAGCCCCCCAGAGCAAAGACTTTAAATTTTGATGAACTATGACTTCTCAGTTTTTTCCTTCATAGGTTGGGATCTAATGTCATGTCTAATACATTTTGGCTCAACTTGGGATATCAAAATGTTGTCCTTTTTTCCTGGAATTAATTTTTTTTAACATTTTACAAATTTTTGTATTAAGCTTACCAAGATTTTGATTTAGTTTTTTTACATGGTGTGAGGTATCAACCAAGTTACTTTTTGACATGGGTTTTCTAATCTTTAAGATCCATTTGTTGAAAGATTGAATTTTACTGAATTTCTTTTGTATTTTTCTCAAGAGTACATGAATTATATATGTCTGAGTCTATCTGTGGACTGGATGTCACTGCAATGATTTGTATGTTTGCCCTTTCACCAGCACCCCACTGCGATGGCTTCGTGTATTAACCTTGACTTTTACATTTTGGTTGATCAAAGTCTGAATATGATACTACTTCTTCATTCTCCCACTCTGTCATTTTCTCAATCATCTCAGCGCTTCTTGTTTCTTTGATTTTTCCATATAAAGTCTAGTATTAGCTTATCAGCTTCTAAAAAAAGAGTCTTATGAGGAATTTTTGTTAAGACTGTATTAAGTCTATGGGGAAATTGATATAACATTTTTAAACACAGCCTTAGTATTCAAGAGGTGGAGAATAGGAAATCACACATTTGAGACAGCCCACACTAGATAGTGAATTATTGGCCAGCCTGGGATACGTGATCTTACCTCTAAATAACAACAAAATATTTTGACCTTCAATTTACAGGGAATACTGCCAATTTGAATGAGTAGGTCTTTGAGTTCTTTCTTTGTTGTTTTGGCATTTTTAGTATATGAGTCATAAATATATTTTGTTAAATTCATTCCAAAGTTTCTCTGATTTAGACTCCATGCCCCAAATTCTCCTCTGTTTGATTGAGTCTATTGGTGATGCTTCCCACTGTTTGCTCGGTTGTTTGCTTGGTTTTAGTTCAGCTTTGATTTTTGGTTGTTTGTTTTCTGCTTTGTGAGACAGAATCCCACACCATAGCTCAGAGTAAACTGGAACTCACTATATAACCCAAGCTGGACTAATGAATACTTGGAGCAATCCTCCTGTCTCTGTCTTCATGCTTGATTAAAAGAATGAGCTCTCGTGTCTAGATCCAGTGTGCTTCTTGACACATTAAATTTTTCATTCCCAAAGTTGTCTTTTTTCAAAATCTAATTTCCTTGCTGATTTTTCTTCTATCTTTTTCTGATGTTGTCATCCATAATGATGATTTTTCTCCTATATGTCAGTGGCTTTCCTCTCTAGGTAATGGATTGACTTCCTTATTTTATTATTCTACCTGCTAAGAAGGGAAATTATGATCATGCTGAAATCAAGTTGAAGATACTCAATTTACATTCATGATTATATATTTGCGGCATAATAAAACAGAAAGACATTCCTTGAAAGAAATAGTACGCCCCACTAGGACTCTTCCCAGACATCCCCTTGCTGCCTTGTGTTGTGGAGATCCTGCAGCTTTGGGTCTGTGGGTCAGGGCCCTTCATGTGCTCCAGCAGATTATAGATGGGGTGATATTGGGGTGAGCCAAGTCATAACCCTGGATCTGGGCCTGGGCACCTGTAGGGTTGGTTTGCCAGATGGGAAATGGGGACAGCCCTCTCATGGTCACAATTTCAGGGCTGGCTCACCTACAGCTGCGCTAATGAGGTTGGCTCTATTGTGCTGCCCTGGCGAGGTGCAGGGCTGCCCTCCTGAGTGTTGAAACAGGGTAGAAGGTGGATTCGAAGGGACTGGGAATGAATGGGATCAAGATACATGATGTGAAAAAACACATAGAACAAGCAAGCAAGCAAGCAAACAAATAAATAAATCCCACAAAATAGAAACAGAAAAAAGAAAAGAAATAGTATGTCCACCAGAGGCCTCCAGCAAGAATTATACTAATCAGTAAGATATCATAAGCACTTATGGTAAATTCAATAAAAATAAAATGTTTACTCTCAGTGCTCCATCAGCAAATCCCTAGACATGCTTGGCAATGCATTAAGATAAGAAAAGAAAAATAGAAAGGAAAGCACAAAGTGTTCATGCTTTTTTCAAAGTGTGATCCTGTGGAGTGTGTTAGGGAGAAGGATGCAGAGATCAAGGATGAACTCTGACTTCTGACTTGAGCTATCACTGGTGTTCACACCTTCAAATGAGGTAATGGTAAATGTTGATACAAAAATTAAGAAAAATGTCAAACTTTTAATATGTGAGTCTAGACTTTATCTGAGCAGCTTAATAGATATAATTTAGATCTCAGTGCAGATGTCAGTACTAAAAATACAAAATCGGAAGTTATCAGAATATATACTGCACTCAAAAATTTAAGCCAAGTGGCATTAGTTAAGGAAATAATTCTATAGGCTATCACTTTAAGGCAAGCAGATGGTAGGGACTAGACCCCTTCGATAAGACAAAAGCCTGAACTTTTTATAGTGTCACTAAACTGAGAAAGAACTGCTTTTTCTGCTGCAGGCCTCAGGAATATATCATAAGAACTCAGCTGGTTATGGCAAAGTCACTACCTGGAGGGATCAGTGAATTCCTCCAGAGGAAGCCAAATTCCAAGGAGTTTTGGGTGTTGTTTGGCTTGTTATATATCAGCTGTATTCTGTTATGAAAATCATGTGTGCCTAAATAGTTTTCCCAGTTGACTTTTCCCTAGAAGGGCTAACAGTGTGGACTGATCACTCTCTGGACATTCACATTCCAGGAATTTGGAGAACAGCCCCAGGAAAGGCTTTCTCTGGAATCAGATATCTCCTTTAGCCATTTTCAAGGACTAACAGTGATAACAGCCCACATGCAAGTCTCCTGACTTAAGGTAAATTCCACAAGGAGACACCACCTAGGTGAGGTGGACATTAAGTAATCTTTACACAATTTATCTCAGACCCTCCCTTTTTATACTGGGACTTCCAGGGCACAGGACAGAGAAGAAAAAAGAGAATGGAAGAACTGGATGGGTAAGAACTTGAGAGGAACAAACTGAGATGGGGAAGAACTAGACTGAAGGGCTAGAAGAGAGTACTAGAGGAACGAGATGGAAGATGAGGAAGAGACAGATGCAGAAGAACAAGATGAGGAAGAGCCAGATGAGAGAAAAGGAGATGGGAGAGGAGCTGATAGGGGAAAGAACTAGATGGATGAGAACCTAGAAGGGTCAGAACTAGATGAAGGAATTAAGATAGAACCTAGAGGGGATAGTAGATAAATATAGAGAGAAATCAGACAAGAAAGGAGCTAGGCACGAGAATAGAACTGAAGCTGTGTATATGTGGATGCTATGCCAGAGGAATTAAAGCAAGTGGACTATAGAGCTCGGTGTGCTGAGATTCTGTTTCCTGAAAATAGTCCTCACCGTTAGTAGTTCTCCTCCTGAGCCCCTGGGATGTATAATATTAAGGCTGGTCCTGTTAATATTATACAAGATTTTTCAAAAGTGATCAGGAAATAGATCAATAGATATATGTTATTGAATCTTAATTAGAAAATTATGGCTAGTGAAGGTAGTGGAAGCTGTTGGTAAGGCAGGAAAACAAAGATTTAGAACCAACCTGGTGGGCTCAGGGAGGTAAAGAATTTGAGACAATAGAATTAAAATGCTCTTGATACACTATGGGTGGGGCAGGAGTGAGCAGAAAGGTAGAGGATAAAGGACCAAGGGAGGAGCTGGATTGCTACGGCCATAAGATGTTTATCTAATTGTAAAGAACTCAGTATAAAGGAGCTGGAGCAATGGCTCAGCAGTTGGAGAACATCTGCCCTGATAGAGGATCCAGCATTCATGTGGAACAGCTTACCGCTGCCTGTAACTCCAGCTCCAGGGGCTCTGACTCATACACACATACCTACACACAGGTGATCACACACACACACACACACACACACACACACACACACACGAAGATAAAAATTTTTAAAGGAATAATAATCCGGTATATTGAGAGAAATTTTGACTTCTGAGTCAAAGGAGAAAAACGTCAGTTAAATTTATTTTCTTTGAAGTTATAAGGAAGTTTATCAAGAGGAAGAACAAGACTGAGTTCTAATAAGCGAAAGTGATATAATTAGCTCAGAGATCATTTTCATGATACAATTTTTTTTTCTCTCAATTCACTCTATTTAATTTTAACCAGACATGAGAATATATTCTTATTCTTCCTCTCCCCTCCCCT